ATAGATAGATAGATAGATAGATAGATAGATAGATAGATAGATAGATAGATAGATAGATAGATAGATTGTATTTTAGTTCTTATGTACAGTTGATGTGATGTCTTCCAAGATTTTATCAACTTAATAAATGTAGATGTAGATGTAGAACCCTTTGATGGACCAGTACACTATCCAGGGGAGGGGGGTGGGGGATGGAATAGAAATACTCCTAGTAACTTCATGCTATGGAAACTAAAGTTAGGTGGTGGCAGTTGTGGGCTAAAAAAACTATCAAATGTTTTGACATGAAATTTTTGCTTTCTGTGTGGTGTAAGGACCAAAGCTTTTGGATCTGGATTTAATGAATGGCATCGCCTCTGAGGAAGGAGACAGCGAATTATCACTCAAGGTTGATCTGCAACATTTTGGAGAGGTGTGTAATATATTACATCTTTACCAGAGAAGATAGGATTTGATTTGTTGTGTTGTATCCAAGGGAATCCAGTGGTGCCCTCATGTATGGCTGCCTCATTAGAATTAGATTACAGAAGTTTGAGGTCTGGCTGGGGACAGGGGTTGTTCTGTTATGTTCTTGGGCAAGGTACTTTTACTGACTGGAATGAAAAAGTATACTGGTGAAGTTTCAGGTTTGAGGCCCTATAACTTGCAGTATTATAGCATCCAGGCAGAGTACTGCCATTATACTAGTGGTGGCAAATGGTAACCAATGCAATGAATCACATTATAGAGTGAAATGTCACAGCTCTCACCATCGAATAGCAAATTTCTTTGCTGTTTGTAGTCTGGAATGGGTATCCTTGATCACATTTCATTCCAGAATAGTAAGAGGAAACACCCTATGCCAGTAGTAAGCCCGTGCAGTTCTTCATGTATTCCACACACTTATTTCAGTTCACTTTCCCACCCAGTTACCAATAATCAGCAAATCACAGCACTTGAAGCTTCAATCTAAAACTTGAGGAACATTAGCAAACACATACAATATATTCTTGAATTAGCACCCAGGGTGCTTATTTCAAATTTAGGAGAAGATGGGAGGTGCTTATTTGAGAGAGGCAGTTAATCAAGGGAGTGCGCTTATTTAATTTTTCCTAAATCATGGTCAGATATAATCAGGCTTTTTGTGATATATGGATGTGTCTGTCTCTCAGAAGTCTCAAAGTAATCCTGTCTTTCTTGAAGAACTATGTAATATAACCCCTTTAGCCAGTCTAGGCTTGCTGCACAAGGTTGGTTGGGCTTTAGGCAATGAATCTGCAGATCTTCACTATCATCCGTTGCAATGGTCAATGTGCAGTGCTTGAATGAGTTGATAATCGCTTGCTTGTGATTGAAAATGACCAAAACTATGCATTCTTTGTTGTCTCAGTACTCTTCCAGGTAATAGGGGGAGAGGAGGGGAGGCATGTATTTTAAATTTTGCCTGATAGGTGGGACGCTTATTCGAAGGGGGTGCTTATTTGAGGGGAGGCACTAATTTGAGGATTTACGGTAAACAGCATTTTTTTTTACTGCAGCCTGGAAAACTTGGCATGGCATCACAGGACACCCAAAGTGAAGTAGGAGGCTCCAAACTTTCTCTGATAACAGACACCCCTCCACCTCCACTGGAGCAGTATGTGTACAACGAGGGGTACCCGTACACTCCACTGAGACCCAGCAACAAGAAAAATCAAGATGAAATTGTGCTGAGCACTAGCAATACCCCGGATGAGATATTCAGTGGAGCTATGATGGCACGGAAGATTGGTGTGGACCGATCTCCTGCCCCTGATATTAGCGAGCTGAGGGAGGATAATGGTGAGAGGTTAGCCATGGAACGTCTGAGGTATGTGGTTTTGAAGTCTGAAAAAACAGATCAGACTTGTGTTACTAGGTGTGTGTTCCATCAATACAAGAATGAGGTCTGACATTTCAGCTACAAACACCTGTCTTGATGACATACCTATGGGGTAGTGACTGGTAAACATAAGACCTTGCAAGAAGGCAAAACTAGCGTTTTCCTTTGCAAGCCTGAAACATTTTGACTTCTTCAATTGCAAGACTGAGAATTCAAAGTGGTTTAAATGTGAGCTTGCAATGTTCAGGTTCTAAGATGTTCAGACATCATATGATTTGTAAAAAAACCGGTACTTTGAGACTTTCTTAGCCTTTTAAAAAATCAAGACTGTGTAAAAAAATCAAGAATGCCTGACTGGTAAAATTTGACGATGACTGTGAGACCACCCCTTACTGACATTTGAACCATAACTACATGTGCCATAGAGCATGTTTTAAAGGGAAAATAGCACAAAGATGTGATCTATAGCTAGTCAAAAGATAAAAGGTTTAAATATCATACCATTTTGTTGTTTCTCTTACAGGGCTGCACATGCATACCATCTAAACACTCTGTTGGAGCAATTGTTGAGGGATGCTGGGCTGTCAGTTGATTGGAAAGAAACAATATTGCCTATAGTGAAGATAGTCAGTGAGCAGGTAGAGCGGAAGAGATCAGATAATTTTTATCGTGTTGTACCCAGAAAATATCTTTTAATTAATACCCTCCCAAGGAAGGTATAAATTCCAGTTTAGCATCATACTTCCCTTAAAATTTCTCAAATTGGCTTTTAAGATCCCTGTCCCTTCAGAACTTCAATGGGCCTATCATGGGGCGCATATGGATACCGTAAACTGCCACTTATAAGCCCTCCTGCTAATTAGCCCCACCCAGCATTATACTTGTACTGTACTTCAAACAAAATATTAAAGTTTCTGATTATAAGCCCCCAACATAAGCCCCCCTCTAGTGTAATATGAAATGAATTTGATGTATTTCCAGGGATGTTTTAAAGCTTAATTTAAAACCACTATATGAAAAACACTGTTGTAGCTCAATTCGAAACTGTTTTTTATTCTACTCATAAGCCCCCCTGGATATGAGCCCTCTTATAAGCAGCAGTTTACGGTATTAATTCCAGAACTCAACATTTTAAACGGTATATAACATTATGTGAAATGGTATACATGTGAAAGGAACTCACAGAATTTTGGGCATCAACTTTTTATCCTCCCTGTAAACAGTACCATGAACAATTCCAGTTGCCACAGTGTGTCAAGTAATGGTAGAGTTTCCACATATGGAAGGCTTGAGTGTACTTTGTTTAATCTTGTGTCCTCATCTCTGTAGGTGACTCCTGATGTTCGTAAAGATGATGACATGGATATCTGTGACTATGTAAAGTTCAAGAAGATTCCTGGAGGAAACAAGAGTGACTGTGAAATGATCAGCGGTGTTGTGTTCACAAAGAACATCGCAAATAAGAAGATGGCCAGTGTGTTGAGCAACCCTAAAATCCTGGTTCTTAGTTGTGCCATTGATTATCAGGTCAGTAATGAAGCTAATTAAATAATAATAATATTAATAAGGATAATGATAGCGATAACGATAATCATAACCTTTATTTAACCTCGGCAGTGTTTATAGCACAAAGGCTAGAGCACCTGAGCAAACAACTGGAACAAATAATTCAAATTGAACATAACATTGTTGAGAATCCCAACTGGCCGGAGGCAAACCAGTTGGCTATTTACAAGAGTGGTTGAGGATTTGAACCCAGGGCTACCGCCAAACAAATTCAGGTAGTGGTCAGGGAGGAACTTGAACCTGTGACCCCTGAATGGCGGGTCCGATGCGCTGACCACTTGGCTATGCTGCCTCCACTAGCTGCAAAACATTGTTGAAAATTGTAATTGTGATTAAGAGCTTCAAGACACCGTATTATTTCCTTAAATGTAAAAGAACAATTATCAAGTCGTCAAAAAGTTAATTGTCAGCTTCCGTAAGAGATGTACATGTATGGAACTTTTGAATCACATTTCTATCAGTGAAGTGCAATTTAAGTGAAAAGGCAGCTTTCTTTTAGGAATAATATTTTTTTCAGTTGAAGCAAGTGACATGCACAATGTTAGTCTTGTCCAATTTTTAAGAAATGTATACTGTACATTAAAAAGTATACTTAAGTTCACGTCCTATCATAATTTACCCATACTTAATGTGTTTCTCTTTGTTGTTCTTTCTCCTTTCCTTAAAACATTATCTCATTTTTCCTTTTGTACACAGCGTAATGAAAACCGCCTGGCTTCTCTTGATCCTCTTGTTCTCCAAGAATTCGAATTTCTGAAGAACTTTGTAGCAAGAGTGGTTTCTTTACGACCGAACATTTTGTTGGTGGAGAAAACTGTTTCACGACTGGCTCAGGACATGCTCTTGCAACATGGGATCACTCTGGTCTTGAATGTTAAACCAGTGAGTACTTTAAATGAAGTAAAATCCTGCTGACAACTCTCAAGGCAGACATCACTGTAAGGCAGACACCTCCCTCAGTTGGATATGACTGTCTCTGTCATTGGTCTTAAGTGAACTTCAGTTGTTTCTCTGTAACTAGACTCAGACTGTTAAGCCAGACTCCACTGAACTACTCCGGAAGGTGTTTGCCTTAGAAAGGAGTTCGCTGTATTGCTATAAATCTGGAATTTTTTCTCCTACAGTACATGCTCTTATTAGTTACTTTGACATTATGCGGCATCAATCATCTGACAGCAAAGCATAATGTTTAAGTTTTGCTGTCAAGCATTTTTTAGTGCAAAACACGGTCACGTGCAATATTACCTGCAAATGTTGACTGATAACTGCTGTCCTCACTTTGGACCTACTTAATGCTCTTGTTGTTTTACAGAACAAATCATTTATAAATGACTGCTTCCTGGGGGACCAGTTAATATTATTTCCCTTGAATCTTTACATTCCCCATCGGCTCTGCCATTTGGGAACATTCAGGTTCATGAGAAACAGTGTTTCCCCTTTGGATCAGTCATTCAATGACTTCCATACTATAGCTTTTTTTTGCCTGTCCATTTTACAGCGAAGAAGATGAAGACTTCTAGCCTTCCATGCAGACGATCTTTAGACTTGTCACGCAATCGTCCTTCCCCATGGGAAGAAGGATTGTGTGACAAGCCCCAAAAAAAAACATTTGCGTGGGAGGCTAGAAGTCTTCCAGAGATATTTGATGTTCTGTATAGAAGTTGATTTTTAAGGGGCTAAGCACATGTACTTCAGCAAAAGTGGCTGCGTGTGAGTCGGATTTGAATTTTTGCAGCATCACTCACTATATACTGGTGCTGTATTTTAAACAAAGCTCATATTTTTCAGGAAGTGATTGAGCGCATAGCCAGATGCACACGAGCAGATGTTCTTTGTTCCATGGAGCAGCTTAGTCGACCACAACTGGGTTCCTGTCAATCATTCAGAGTTCAGAGATACACTCTTAAGGTAACACTGTACATACAATATCTCATATAAACATTCTGTAGACACTTTAATTTTCAAGTTCAGCCTCTAGATTCTCCTTACTGTTTTTATCTATTTTCTATAATTCTCTTTTGGAGAACTTGGTGTTTATTTTAGACATTGCTCTTGTGCGATGATGTCCTTAAGTATCTTGACCGAAAGGATTACAAGCGTACATGCATATCGCGTTTCAGAGAATTAAGAGTACCTTAAACATGTTTAATTTGTTAAATTCGTTTTCATTGAAAGATTATGACATGTTTTTACAGAAGATCTAGTGAAAACATGTCAGAATCTTTGGCTGAAAACATATAATATGGAGCAGTTTAAGAGGAGCTCAGTCACGGCATTTTTCATTATTTTGGCCACGTAGAAAGTTACCTTTAAATTGAAGGAAACCTGAAAATATTGGTTTACTAACTAAAGATAGAAAAACATCCACGCCGGCTAAACTTCAGAACACTCTGCCACTGAAATACTCCTCAACAAATCTTGCTACCGCGGTCCGCAGTCCGCAATCACAAACTCCTCAGTTCTCCTGAAATGTAACCTAAGTGCGCACGCAAACAAAACAAGAAGAATACACGCAATGTATACTTCGTTCTCTAAACGTCTGCAGACAAGTGATACGATTTCTCGAAACGCGTCTGCAGAAAGCCATGCAAACACTACGTGACTGCGGACCGCGATAGCAGTAGTTTACAATACTTACCTAATTTCAAAGTCCACCACTACGGGACTGCGGACCGCGGTAGCACTTCAGTTTAACACCGAGTCAATACATACATGATTTATTTGATAAAGCAGGTTACAGATCAATTGGCAAGACGTTAAGTCCTGATGTGGACCTGCACTATCTAAGATAATAATATTGACTCACTAGCCGAGTACGGACCAAGGACCACGGGAGCAGTAGATTTAAGGAGGGCGTGTGTGGCAGGGTATTCTGAAGTTTAAAACACCAAAGAGACTATAATAAACCATAAAGGAACAAGGATGTTTAAGGATGGAGAAGATTGACACAGATTACTGACGACGAACTCGAAAAAAATCGGGCTTAACTTTTAAGATATGTAAACCGTGATGTAGCTCTGACAATGTACTTCATGTTTGCTAGAATGGAGAGTCCAAGACACTCATGTTCATTGATGGCTGCCCAGCTGATCTTTTCTGCACAGTGAATCTCCGAGGAGGCAACAGTTTCGTGTTGGCTAAAGTGAAGCGTATTTTCCAACACATGGTTTTCGTTGCTTACAGTTTGAGATTAGAACTGCAGTTTCTGATGGACGAGTTCGCCTTGCCACCAGATACTAACCATTTAATTGAGGAATGGGAAATTGCCGCTAAAAATTTTGAAAAGAGGATGAAAGCGGATGAAGGGGAATTGAATGAAAAAGAGGACAGTGGTGGAGATTGTTCAGAACAGAATAAGAACTTGACAGAAACAACACAGCAAGATTCTTGTGAAGGAAGTGAACTTTTCCTCACAGCGTTAAAAAGCACCATTTTAGCCAGCTCGCCATTTCTCGACTATCCGCTCCCGTATTTGCTCACAGAAGCGGGTAGAAACATGGCCTTAAGATCCGCTCTGCCTCGAGATATTTACTGGTCAGCACGACTCGACCTAGATCCCCATTCTCGTCACTTGACCGAAGAGGGTATGGAGGAGTTTGATTTTTCAAATCCTCATCAGCGCCGCCTGAGTAAGCTGGTTTGCATGTTGGAACCACACCCTCTGTTGTCAGCGTCACTGACAATGGATCCTAATAACATATTGTTTCAAGCCTTGGTGAGCGACTTTCGCGCCCAGGGAGGACAAATACAGCTGACGAAGAATGGGATGGCTGTGTCCCGAGGCCGTTGTAAATGGCTTGAAGGTATTGGCGAGAAGAAGGTTAGAAAGAGCAATAAAGAAAAGAGCTGTCTCCAGGGAACTAACAGCCCAAAGATCAATTTTCCAGAAAGAACAAATGAAGAAGAGCAAGAACAGAAGGATCAGTTTGTTCCAGCAAGCCCGCTTCATTTTAACAGAAAGGTATTACAGGGTTTACCAAGATGGTATAGCTTTATAGGCACGCAATGCGTGCGGACTGCTATGAAGCTGTTGTCTTTTGTACGAATTGCTGATCAATGATACTAGAATGTGTGCAGAGGATGCATACCTCGCTAATCAAAACCAAAACTAAGCTGGGAACCGAGGAATAAACTCCTAAAATTCTATGCTAATTAAAGGGAATCTTGGCTAAAAACGGTTTTGTTCCAAATCACAAGCTGGTGTTTTTGTTAAACTATTTCAGTGATTTGAAGTCGATAATTGTCTGTCTGTTTTGAATGCTGAGTGGTTACTTTCAGCTATTTTAGGATATAAAATTTTCCGCCCGCCGCCATGTTTATTTTTGCAAAGCTTGATGTGAAATTATGACGTCATTGTGTGGTTGGGCGTTTTTTGAAATACAGCATTGTGTGTATCTAGAGAAATAAGAGTGCTTCTAATCATTTCTTATTCATATTCTGGATGAATCTGCTTAGTCCCAATGAGAAATCTTCCTCTACAGACTCCATGTTGAGATCTCTGACTGCGCAATGACGTCATGAATTACCGTAAGGTAAACATGGCGACGCCCAGGTGATGTAAACTGAAAACCAAAAACTTTGTATTGGAATCACTTATATAGATATCAGCTTAAAACCCTTGGATCATTTAAAGCGAACCATTAGGTGAACTTTGGAACTTGAACTGATTTTCAGCCAAGATTTGCATTAAGATCTGATATCCATATTATGATCACAAACTTATTGAATGATTTATGAGTTTGAGATGTCAAAATCAAAACTCTCCCTTGTGGTTTTTATATGTTTTATTTGTCTCTCTATGGGAGAAATCGTTGTAAACTCAAGTAAAGAAACTTCGGTTTGTAGCAGTTACTAACTTGAGATAATTTTTTTTCCAGCAAGTGGACTGTTTGGATCCATATGCTCATCAGAGAATTGCCGTGTTATTCATAAGCTACTCAAATGAATCGAACAATTCACCCCGCCCGTGTATTAGTCCATGGTAAGTAATAACATGGACGAGTAGGGAACTTCTTGGATGGTTTAGGGGGGTGGGGGTTGGGGGCATTGGTAACCTACGAACGCTGACAATCTCACAAATTAAACCCCATCAAATATTTTCGCTCACACGCGATTGGTCTAAACGCATCACGTGACTGAATGTGCCTCAGCTGAATCTGGGGCACATTGATATTTCCCAATTTGCGTAAAGCGGGAAATATTGGACGGATAATAAACGCAATAGCCCCCATTTGACTTTAAAAATATAAACGGATACTTGTCCTTGGACATTATCTGTTTCTCAAAGCTCACGGTTTTCCTCAAGCTTCGCTCATGGAAAACTGTTAGCTTCTCGGAACAGATAACGTCCGCGGACAAATATCCGAGCACATTTTCGCACTCGGCTTTTCTGGCTGAATATTTGGTAGCGTTTCAGATGAAATAGACTTGCCAGTAATTCAAGCTGCGAACGCCGAGCTCGGAACAAGAAAAATGTCTGCGACCCTCAAAACCCAATTGCAAAGTGCGCGATGAAAAAGAACGCAAGCTACCTAAAACTGCAACCGTGAGCAGTCAATTAATACACTGCAATTTTAACCGTTGTTTTTATATATATTGCAGGGCTGTTTTCATGGAGTTTTATGGACGAAACGACATCACTCTTGGTGGTTTTCTGGAGATATACTGTTTTAGGTATATTGTGATGGGTTTTGAAATGCAAACTTGAAGTGAATATTCAAACGGTTTTTGAAACAAGTTTCACAAAACGTTGTTGCCTGT